GAATTTTGGCTCAAAGATTCTGCGTTGACGAGCGCACAATGATTGGGTTCGTATACTTCCACCAGGAGTGGAACCGAGTGTTTTTATGCGTCTCATGAGCCTCGTTATTTATACATTCAGCTAGGTCAAATACTGCCTAGTTTGATACTATACACATTTATCTCAATTAAAATTTGTCGTTTTTTCTGACATGTAGTCACACAACCACGGACGTCTCCTTTTTGAAGTTCGACCACCTTCATAGAAATGTACTTATGAAATTTCACATTTACTCTGTAGTGCAGTGTGAATTTCGTCCAAACATACAGTTTTGTCTCAAGTACAATTGTATCACATTTGTAAGGTGAACTTCCACGAGAAGCTCGCCCAGCCAATTTTAGCACGACTAAGCGTAAGCACACAAACTTTGCATTTCCGTGTACATTTCAACTCATACTTTGGTTTAATTTTGGCGACGTAGACCATGAGGCGGATTGTACAGATGATTCGGCTCTCGAACATTTTCGACAGCATGTGGAATCACGCAGAGGGTCTGCTATTCTGAAGGATCCAGCTTATTATTCACTTTTTATGGAATACAAGAATGACGTCCTGAGTGTGGACCCACCCTCTGACCTTCCACCCGAAACGTGGATCCTCATCGACAGGCGAAGTCAGGCTGGTTGTATGGTGCAGATATCGTCCGCTCTGTACTGCGGATACGGTAAATAGCAGTAGCTTGGTTCCATTACCAAAATTTTCTATTTTACCTAGATCGCATAAAAATGGTCGTATGCGTAGACACACACCAATTTCTGACTCACATATATTTGAGGCTACTTGATTGCTTTACGTTTCTTATAAAAATTGCGCTTTTGTGGTTTATCCTTCTTTGCCGTTTTCAGCAACAACGTGGATTCACGCGAGAGAACGCCGCTTCCACGACAGTCGATCTGGTCGAGAACCCTTATTCAGCTATGCTCTCAGGACACACGCTGGCGAGACATGGCTTGAATGTGGTACTTATATGAGTTGTGTGTAGTGGTGTAAAGAAAGCGTCAGCTTCAGTGAAGGTGAGAGGCGAGAAGGAGGCAAGCTGTACTTGTAAAGACGATGTTATTATGTAACATGTTTGGAGGGTGTACAAAATACTAGAGAACTTAGACTGCAGAAACTGTATTCAGTAGGTTATTGATTATGAAGGTGGGCTGAATTGTTTAAATAGTATAATCTCATTGAAAACAAAAAAAAGAAAACATTACAAAGCCGAGGTTCTATTACCAGTCCCTATTTTAATAAAATTCAAATAGTATTTACCTGAGTCTGAGCATCTGCAGTAGCAGCTACCCTGGTCTTCCTTATTCTGTAGAGCAAGCTTGATGGCTTTCCAGTTGGAGCGAGTACTCGACCATGAATCTATTGGAGCCCACGCCAAACACGTCACCATGCATGAGGTAGCGACGCCGGCTCCTGTTGCCACAGGAGCTGAGGCGTATGGCCGTGCCGTTAGTGCTATGAAGATCGGTGATATAAAATCCGTTGCCAAAATATGAGATCACGCTATGTCTGCTTGAAATTGAGTCGTCTTCTGTGATGCAAAGTGCGTTGCTTGAATGTCGGCCCAGCGTCACAGAGGTTTTCCCAACAGTCTGACGTATCCCAGTCAGAGGACCATCAGTGAAGCAGATGCGTAAATATGGCATTCCCGTTGTAACATTTTCATCGATTGCTAAGATTTTAAATTCTGTGTCGCCTATCTTAATGTGGTCGTCCACATGTAGACGCTTAGGTGTATCCGGCTTAAGAAAAATAAATGTTCCTGTTGTGCTGCCGAGATCCTGTAAGTAGTATTCCTTTTCCATCGGATCATACTGGATTTGAAAATGAAACCGGCTTACATATGGATCGTTTGAAATGATCTGATTGCTCACATGTCGCCCACCTTGAGCACCTTCTCGTGGGTGAAGCACAATTTTGCCGTCTACGTCTCCGTTGCTGTTCCTGCAGAATTCCTTGCCTTCGACCTTCTTTTCAGTCATACGACTGCTATATTCGCCTTTATCACCACTGCTTATGTCATTAGCAAAGTAGGGCTTCATCGTACTGGTCAAAAGAGGCGGCTCAAAAGACAATGAAGATACAATAAGTAAATCCTTCTCATCGATTTCCAAGTCGCCGTCCTTACAGCTTCCAAATTGCGTCATTGATCGGCAAGAGTAGTACTGACACATTCCATGACGCCGTGTCCTTTTGGTCTTAGTGCGTTGAAGTTGCCAGTCGCGTAAATTGTCAAACAATATGTATGCGCCAAGACTGGTAGTAATTCGACGGAGCGGCGAGAGCAAATGATAATGGCGGGAAAGCACAAGCGTTCCAAGCCAGACAGCAAGCGATGAAATCACCATGAGCCATCGTAACTTGAACGTTAGATCTGATAGCAGGTGGTGCAGTCCGTCAAGATGTTCGCTGCTGATGGAAGCGATTATCGCGAGATTGTACAGTCGGTCATCGTGTCCATGATTAGCATCGAGGCTTTTAAAATACAAATTGAGTTGCGTATGCATGTAGGCCATAGACGCTACAATTGCCGATGAGTAGGCCGTTGCGTGCAGCCAACTCCATTGCGTTACAGATTGCGGTGAGTTGCGACTCCATGTTCGCGACGTGACTTTTATCTCCATGATTGCGATAGAAGTCCTGTGGATTAGGGAACATAGTACAGGTCGCATTAATGTCGCGCAAAACGTGGCACACACAAGTCAATACTACTTTGTATTCAAAATGAAAGATAGAGGCAAAATCGTTTTTGCACAATGATGGCGCCTTCGTTCTTGCTATTCCTGTGTCCGCCACTGATCCTATTGCTTCTTGTTTTTATCTCCCTTTTCCTACATCGTCGCGCCTTTATCATCTCTCGCAATGATGAGATTAAAAGAACCCCCAGGACCACAACTATCGGTGTCTTTCATCCTTATGCCAACGGTGGCGGCGGTGGCGAGCGCGTGCTCTTCTGCGCACTATTGGCGCTTATACGAAAATATCAAAAGTTAAATATCAATCTTCGCATCCTGCTGTATGCTGGTGACGATGGTCTCTCGGCTGCAGAACTAGTAGCCAAGGCCGCTGATGACTTTAATTTACAAGAGCTTCGATTGTTGAATGTTGAACGACACGTAAAGCTCATTTCATTACCCAGTCGCGAGATTCTCGAACCCAGTCGCTATCCAAGTTTCACGTTACTGTGGCAGAGCTTAGCTCATATCCGTTTGGCATTGGAAGCTGTACAGCAAAGTTCCAAGCAGGGACTGTACCCGCAGCTTTGGGTGGACACTACTGGCTGTCCGTTCTCTTACATCGTGGCAAGTCTTCTGTATGCTTGTACTGTCGTTGCATATGTTCACTATCCAATGATATCGACCGACATGATTTCTAAAGTGCAGCAGCGGGGCGCAGATTATAACAACGACGCAAATATTGCATCAAGCTCGTCAAGATCCTCAGCAAAGTACGTCTACTACAGTCTCTTTGCCAAAGTTTACAGCTTAGTCGGCAAATATTGCACAGATGTGGTGATGGTAAATTCAACTTGGACATACAACCACATAAAGCAACTTTGGGGAAAAGCTCCGACGATAGTATACCCTCCTTGTGGAGCCATGCAAGAATATGTCGAGTTTAGTTTGGAAAATCGGGAACTTATCGCTCTTTCGGTGTCTCAATTTCGACCAGAAAAAAACCACCTTTTGCAGCTACAATTATTTCAAAAGTTATTAATGAAATACGACACGCAAATGAAAACGAGATTCAGCAACTTTCGGCTTGTATTATTGGGAAGCTGTCGCAATGCTGAAGATATAGCTCGTGTCGAGAAGCTAAAGATGCAAGCAAAAGAGTTGGGAATTGCAGACCGAGTGGATTTCGTGGTAAATGCAAGTTTTGCCGTGCTGAAACAATTCCTCGCAAAGAGTTCGATTGGCATCCACACAATGTTTAACGAGCACTTTGGAATAAGCATCGTTGAGATGATGGCTGCAGGCATGCTTGTTGTTGCAAACAACTCTGGTGGTCCCAAGGCTGATATTGTGAGGCCTGATACAGGATTATTGGCGCTGACGGCCGATGAATACGCAGCCAAGGTGCTTTCATTGTTAGAAAAATCTCCGTCGGAATTAGTTGAGATGCGATCTGCTGCCCGCAGGTCTTCCCTACGTTTTTCAGATAATGCGTTTGGCGAGCAGTTTATAGCAGCAGTTGGTGCTGTCATTTGAGTCTATTAATGGATGCAAATTGACATAGAATGATGAATAGCGTGTACTGAGCAGATTTTTTTGTCGTCTGAAGATAATGACTTGCGTTAATTGACAATTCGAAAACCTTTTTCTGTGGTGAAATCCAAGTCTCATATTTCTATTTCTGGTTCGACAGGTTATCAGCGGGTTGTGCTACGGAGAAACGCTGTGCAAGGAAATGAAACGACCGTCTCTTTGCTAACATGAAGAGACTTGAGGTGTGCGACAGAAGAGCAGCATTTCCACTTTGGAATCCTGAACGAAGACGTAGAATATTTTGCCTGACATCGTCAGTGACTGATAGTAAAGGGTGAATTATGCCGGAATCAACTACCCGGGACTCGCATCCTCGGTTATCTTCCGCAGACATTGTTGCGGTTACAACCGAGATGCGTCTTCGACAGCAAGGCCGAAAAAATCGAGCAGCTAAACCAAAAGACGAGTCCGACGACGCCAAACGCGAGCTTGTCATGGAGGAGCACAAGCAGAGTCCAGCTGAAATTTTTGCTGACTTGGGTTCAGACCCTATAAACGTAAGTGCTTTATTGGCATTGTGTTTATCACGAGTGGGCAGAGACAGCAAATCTAACTTGTGATTTTTAATTTAGGGCATGACTCAACATGACGTTCAGGGTCGTATTGAATCTGAAGGGCTCAATCGGTTGACACCGCCAAAGCAAACGCCGGAGATTGTGAAGTACTTTCGTGAACTGACAGGCTTGTTCAGTCTTTTGTTGTGGGTTGGCGGGGCTCTCTGCATCATAATATATGGTCTGCAGGGTGACCCCAACAATCTATATCTGGGCATAGTGCTATTCTTGGTGGTCATCATCACTGGCACATTTTCATACTTTCAGAATGCCAAATCATCAAATTTAATGGAGTCATTCAAACAAATGATGCCCACGGTCACGACAGTGGTCAGAGAAGGAAAGTCTCAAAAGGTTGATGCAACACAGCTTGTTCGGGGAGATATCATCTTATTGAAAGGCGGCGACAAAGTGCCTGCTGATATTCGCGTTCTTGAGTGCTCTGATGATCTGACTGTAGACAATTCATGTTTAACTGGTGAACCCGAACCGTTGAAACGAGTTCCTGATTGTACGGATGAAAACCCACTTGAGACGAAAAATTTGTGCTTTTTTGGTACATTCATTCCTCAAGGTTCTGGCAAAGGTGTTGTGTTACGAGTGGGAGACAAGACTGTCATGGGACGTATTGCAAAGCTAGCAACTACTACAGGCCAGAACATGACGCCCATTGCTCGCGAAATTAACCACTTTGTTCACATTATCGCAGTTGTGGCTGTTGTTATAGGTGTCATTTTCTTCATAATTGGTATCTTTCTCAAAACTGATTACGTTACAAATGTCGTTTTTATGATTGGAATCATTGTTGCGAATGTCCCGGAAGGTCTGTTAGCAACGGTGACAGTTTGTTTGAGTCTTGCTGCAAACAGGATGGCCCACAAGTCGGTTCTTGTTAAAAATTTGGAAGGTGTCGAGACTTTGGGCTCCACTAGTTGTATTTGCTCTGATAAGACTGGCACATTGACTCAAAATGTCATGACGGTTGCACATGTGGTCTATGACAACAAAATTTTTGACGCTGAATGCTCTATTACTCCAGTTGGAAATTACGATTTGAATTCTCCTTCGTTTCAGGCATTGCAGCGCTGCGCAACGATTTGCAATAACGCCGTCTTTGACGAAGACTCTAAATACGAAAAAGCAGTTGGCTCGGATGGGCTGACTGCACGTGGTAAGCGAAAGCCGTTCAAGGAGACTGTGTCGATGGGTAACGGTTTTACTATGGAGAAAGTCGCATGGGATACCATAGGCGATGCTTCCGAGTCTGCTATGATTAAATTTTGCCACGACAAAAAGGATATTATTGAATACCGTGAGGAAAATGCAAAGATCAAAGAGGTTCCGTTTAATTCAAAGAACAAATATCAGTTGTCATTGCACAAGCAAGACAATGACGATAGCAAACCAATCTTGATGGTGATGAAGGGCGCTCCCGAGCGAATTACAGCTCGTTGTGGATCGGTATTGATCGGAGGAGAAGAGGTTCCAATGACTCCCGAGCGCCTTGCTGAAGTCGAGGCGGCTCAACTTAATTTGTCAAAGAAAGGAATGCGAGTGCTTGGATTTGCTCAGAAGATCCTTGACCCTGTCATTTATCCCGCAAATTACGATTTCAGTACCGACAATCCAAATTTCCCGCTTGGTGAGAAGGATGTTGACTACGAAATGACGCCAAAGCCAGATCCGAAGATCGAAGAGTCGTTGTGTTTTATAGGTTTGATGGCTTTGATTGATCCCCCGCGTCCTGAAGTGCCGATCGCTGTAGCAAAATGCAAGACGGCAGGCATCCGTGTCATCATGGTGACTGGTGATCACCCGGTCACTGCCAAAGCTATTGCGCATAAAGTCGGAATACTATGGGGACCCACGTGTGAAGATATCGAAGAAGAAAATCAGGAACGCGGGCTTAACGAGGGTGACAATGGATGGATTGATCCAAAAACTGCTCCGGCCATTGTTGTGCCCGGATGGACAATAAGTATGGATACGTCGGTAGAAGAATGGGATCGTATTTTGGATCACAGACAGATCGTGTTTGCACGAACGTCTCCTCAACAAAAGTTGATTATTGTAGAGAATTGCCAACGTCGTAAGGAGATTGTCGCAGTGACGGGTGACGGTGTGAACGACTCACCAGCTTTAAAGAAAGCGGACATTGGCATCGCGATGGGTGTAATGGGCTCTGCCGTATCAAAGGAAGCTGCTGACATGATCCTGTTGGATGACAACTTTGCATCCATTGTGTGTGGAGTCGAAGAAGGACGGATTATCTTTGACAATCTGAAGAAGTCGATTGCTTACGCTCTGGCTGCTAATATTCCGGAGCTGGTGCCGTTTTTACTTTATGCTACAGTTCGCTTGCCGTTACCGCTTACGACTGTGCTAATGCTTTTAATATGTCTTGGTACCGATATGATCCCTTCTATTGCTATGGCTTATGAAGGCGCTGAGAACGACATAATGCTGCGCGCCCCGAGAAATGCGGAGTTTGATCACTTAGTGACTAAGAAGCTGGTTTTCTTTGCTTACGCTTTGGTAGGTATTATTGAGGCTGGTGCTGGCATGTTCACTTTTCTAGCTGTTATGAATGACTACGGCTATGCTCCCAAGATTTTGCCTAATCTCGGCTTTTATGACCGCTTTGGAAAGCAAGTCTTATGGTGTCAGACAGAAGGTGGCCGATTTTGCACTGCCGGTGGCAAATTTAAGAAAGGGGATGATTTTGTTTTTCTTGGTGCTGCTACTGGAAATGCTGAGGGATCTCCTGATTGCCAAGACGAGTATGACGATACCATACCAAGTGGGGGTGACATTTTTGATGCCCACATTTTTTACGATCCTACTGGAGGTGGCAAGGTGATTGAGTGTCAGTTTCCACTGCAAAATCTTGATACTGAAGCTAACAAGCCGACGGATTTTGACCGCACTAACCCAAAAACATTCGAGAGTTACACGCCGACACCTGTCGTTTCGTTTCAGTCTATGGAAGCTGCATGGCTTAATGGTTACCGCCCGTATTACCCGATGGCATCGCGACGCTCGTCATTTTTCGACATGAAATGGTTTGCCTACGAGACAACTCAGACTGGCCCACCGGGTCTTGTCACAAGCATTTCAGACGAAATTTTTAGCTCCTTTCAGCCTCTATCTGTCTGGGCTATTACCGACAACACAACTTTGGGAGGTGAAGTTTCAGCTCTTGTTGGAGCTCGCGATGCATTTGGTGCTACGGAAGTTACCGCTGTGGATGCCGCGGGCAAACGTACAACCACAAAGTTTTTGCTGTCGGACGACAAATCTTACAAGGTGGGTAAGAGCTTTGACAAAATTAAAAAGGTCGATGGGTCGAATCCGTGCAGTGGGGAGCAGTGTCTTCTGGACTATCATGCTGGATTTACACGCCGTGACGATGACGGCAAGGCGTACGTAAACATTATGTCGCGCATGATGCAGTACAGTGCCTTGTCCATATCGCAAACGGCTTTTTTTGTTGCTGTAGTGGAGATGCAATGGGCTAACGTCATGATTTGTAAAACGCGCTATCTATCGATTGTATCGCAAGGAATGATGAACAGCGTGCTCAACTTTGGTCTTATGTTTGAGTTCATGTTATGCGCCGTGATTGCGTATGCAGGTTTCACACACACTGTGCTCGGTACTGAAAGCATTCGTTTAGTGCACTGGTTTCCGGCTCTTCCGTTCTCAATCTTTCTATTCTTGGTGGACGAGGGACGCAAGTTTCTCATACGCTCAACCTCGCGCAGCGTCATCCGCAAAGACACTGGCCAAATCGTTCGCTACCCAGGTTGGCTGGAAGTAAACACGTACTATTAGACCAGAATAACGAAACCACAGTAATATGACCTTTTGATAACGTACATTGCCTACTACCATTGTTGGATTAGTATAGAGAATGAAAAAGCTTAGTTGATTAGACCATTAGTCATATGAACGGCACTTGTGCGTATTAATTTTCATGCGAGAGATGTCCGTGCAGCAGCTCCATATTCAGTTTGCATTTGAGAGTAAGACCTCACAGTCTTCGCTCGTGCTGAATAAGCACCAAGAGTTTGCATTGGCATACAGGAAGCGTTGTCGTGCTGCAGTGAAAAACGATGTCGACGTGGTTAATGTCGAATGTGGGCCTGTGGAGCTACAGTAAAACCGACATATTTCTGTGTTATGATGACCACCACAACAGCAGCATTTTTAGCAATGTAGATCACGATACTGACTAAACACTTGAAAATCGTAGAAATATACGAGTAGCACAAAAAGGAGTCTCTTTTAATACAAGCGTGCGGTTCAAAGGTGCAGCTAAATCTACAATATTTCCCGTGCTTCCTTCACAAAAACTACGCCTTTGATCCTCCATCGAGAATGCGCAGGTATTTTCGGATCCCTTTGGCCTCTTTTTCGATTTCACGTAATCTCTCAATTGCCTTGAGTCGCAATCTTTCCACATGCGCTCGATCTGTCGCTGTATTCAGCCCGTAAGTCGACTCCTGTATCATACTTTTAGTATCTGGACATATAATCTCTTGAGCGAAATGCTTAGTGGACTTCATCGTCTCCTCTGCTAAGCTTCCCCTTTCTTTTTGAAAACGCAGGCCGTGTCGCTTCATAAAGCGTGTCAGCCAACCAACTGACAAATTATGGACGGGTGGGTGTTGCATAGTGTCGCGAATTTCCCGAGCACGCGATTGCAAGAGTCGTCGCGTGAGCTGTACACCGCGAGTCTGACATTCTCGAACATACTGTCCAAGTTGATTTTCAAGCTCTCTCGAGCGTACACATAATCGACGGCCCTTGGCAGTCACATTGTCGCTTTGTCGCTTTGACTCGATTTCTGCAGCTGCCTGCAGGATATTGCGAATAGTTTGGCGTGTAGGCGGCACGGACAGATCAAAGCGAGACTTGGTCCATAGTGCCAGCTGTGTGTATGTTGTAGAAGGCTCGCTTCGGTGCTGTGCAATAAGCTCACACTTCTGCTCAATGGTGAGCCATTTCCCCTTGGTGCTCATGTTCCAAATCGAACAATTAACGTGTTGCTAACATGTATACGCAATGATTCTGCGATGTATACGCAGCAAACCTGATTAGTCAGTTCTAGTGGGTGACTGACAAATAATTTCCCACATTTTTGTGTCTGGTATCTACACTCTGATACCTATTTGATTCATTCCCAGTCAATCGAGAACTACCTTTTGCTTTACATAGTCGCATAGTTGAAATGCTACGACGTCGTATAAATCCTGTAGATCACATTGCTTAATGAATTATTGCTTTTGCGGACTCCAAATGACTTTATTAGCCAGTTAGCATACCTATGATGCCGCTGACATATTTTCAGTATTGGTGGCAGAGGCGGATGCGAAAGAACTGGTCTGTTAGACAGACTGTCTGACTTATACAATTCGACGTCACTACTTCTGGATTACGGGATTAAACATACCTGTCGTGTAGCTGTTTCATTCTAAAGCGCCGTATCCGACATTTAATCGTCACTCTGTCTTTAGTCCATTTGTTGTCATGAGTGCCTCCTGGGACTCAGACCTGTCCTCGATCATCGAGAAGACTAATAACAATCTCAAGCTACTGCGTAAGATTGGCGACAAACCAAATGTGCACCCACCTGATGTATCCATGACTACTGCTAATTACTCGTCAGCTCGACCACGAGCCTATGTTGGCGCCCAGAACGATGCGGAATCTGCGTCCTCGCGCGGATCTGCCCGCCCGCGTGCCTTTATTCGCGGAGATGATGATAGGAGCTCCATGGGCTCGCACGAATCTATTCGTCCTAAAGCTTACGTTCGAAGTGATGACGACACAGGTTCCATGAGTTCGCACTCAGCCCGTCCTAAAGCATTTATTCGCTCGGATGACACTTCCGATTCCATGTCATCCCGCGTGTCTGTCCGACCCAAGGCTTTCATCCGTAACGACGACGACGCGGGATCTGCATCATCTCGAGCTTCAGCTCGTCCCAAAGCTTTCATTCGCACAGATGATGACTGCGGATCTGTGTCGTCACGTGTATCCGCTCGTCCCAAAGCGTTTATACGTGGGGATGATGATACAGGCTCTATGTCATCGCTCTCTTCAGCCCGTCCAAAAGCTTATATCCGTGGCGATGATGACTTGGGCTCGATGTCGAGTAATTCGGGTCCTGGTCGGTCTCGCGTAGATTTAGGAGGCAATACTATTCGCCCACAAGTCGGCATTGCTGGCGGCGGTGCTTTGACGGCCGCCATGCTTCAGCAACATCGCGCTGCTGTCGGTGGCGGTTCTGCACTGAATGATCTCAACGCTCAACGCTCACGCTTTGACCTAGATGAGATGCGATCCATGAGCGGCGTATCAGCTTCTCGTTTTCGGCGCTCACAAGGCCCGACCAATGCGCCCCATGTGCAAACGCATGGAGGCTCGCGAATTCGGGTGCCAGACGCTGACATTCCGAGCGAAAGACCAATTCACGAGATTGACGAGCTTAGGAAGAGCCTAGAAACAAGTATTGCGGCACGCACCAATTCCATTGACAAAAAAGTTGCTGATTTGTGTACAGACGTTGCAGGATTAACCACTCGAACATCGACACTGAGCTCGCAGATGGCGGAGCTTCGCGATGCTGTGCTGGTGTCTGGTGGTGGCATTTCCTCAGCTCAAGCTATGTCCGTCTCAGACTCAAAGATTCTAACAAGTGTTCAAGCCAATGCCGCTGCAATTAATCGTCTTGAAGAACACAGTACGGATCTTCTGGGCCATAAAGCTACTGTAGATCGGGAGTTGACGGATCTAAGCTCTCGAGTTAAAGCACTCTCATCTGCAACTGTGAAGGTGTCTGGTCTAGAGGATAATATTGAAGCACTAGTTGCAAATCGCCAGAAACAGGAGCAGGGGTTATTCAAACTGGCAGATCGTGTGCAGCTCATGCATCGTCAAATGGGTGGTTTTGTGGATATAAAGGCTGTTGAAAATATAGTCAGTATTCAGCTCACGCGCGAACTTCGTGAAGTGGAAGACCGAATATCACAGAATATGACGCGAGCGGTTGAGAAGATGGAGCAAAAGCTGCAAAATTTGGAAAAGCAGTCAAATTCTCAGCGTCAGGAGGGTCTGGCAGCACTTAAAAGTGATTTGACGGACGATTTACAGCGTCTCCAGACCTCTTCAATCCGCAAGAGCGACTTAATATCACTTCAAAATGCCCAGATTCAAAACAAAGAGGAAATTGCGCAGCTTTCGAGCGCACTGGATCGTCAGGAAAAGAAGCTTCAGGACGCAAAGGTCGCGAACTCGACGTTACGAGACGAGCTCATTGACACACGCACCGAGCTGAAGAAAGCACTGCAGTATCAGCAGCGCAGTGCGTCAGCATCTATGGAAGAAAAGCTTGAGCTGATAACGAGCAAGAACAAGGAAAAGGCACATGACTACGACGACCAGCTGGCAGAGATCGCTAAAAAGCAAAAAAAACTGGAAGACACTATCAACACAGTCCATGACACAATTGACAAGATAAAGAGTGAGGCTGGCCAAGGCTTACGCTCCAGCTCAAAAGACCGAGACGAGGCAAACAACAAATTGCGTCAGCGTCTTTCGCGCTCTGTCGCTGAACTTGAGGCTCTGGCCCTGACTAAGTCCGAGGTGGAACGTCGATTTGCTAACGAAGAGAAGCAGTTTCATGAGAGACTAATGGAGCTTCGCATTACCTTGGATCAAGCAGAGAAGCAGAAGGAAGCCGAACGTCTGGAACTCATACAGAAGCTGCAGGAGAAGAGCAAATTGTTGGGTGTGGCTCAGGGAAAAAACACTCTGCTGGAGAGCTTGTTGGCTGGTGAGAAAGCGGGAAATGATGAGAAGAATGAGATGGTGCTCAAGTCAAAAAAAGAAGTAGCGGAAGCGCGCGAGCAGATTCGAAAGTTAGAGAGTGACAAGGAAAAAAGTGTTCGTCAATTGATATCTGAACTACAGGCAAAACAAACGCAGGTTGCTTTGTTAACCAAGACATTGGACCGTGCCGAGACGGCCTCGGCAAAGATGTTAGACCTTTCACAGCGGGAGACAAAGTCCTTGCGTCGTCTCAAGGCGACCAAAGAGCACGAACTTTTTCTTGCGCAGTTGAAGCTGAAGGAGATGGAGCGCATAGCTTTGTCTCTTCAAAATGGCAACGAAGTCAGGGAACAAGCAGCTGCCACCGCTGCTAGCACAGAAGAGCGCATTAAACTGGAAAAGTTGCTTCTAGATAGTCAGTTGGAAAAGGACGAACTGAAACAAGAGTTGCATGATTTGACGGATGAGCTGAATTGTTTGAAGGACAGCCAGAAGGTGATGCTGGAGGACACCGTTATTAAGCTCTCGAGCGACTACGATGAAAAGATAAGTGAACTTCAGCAGCAAATTTTGAATAAAGAATTGGCAATGCGTCAATTGCGCGACACGCTGGTTGAGAAAAGCAACCTTGACGTTTTAGAGGACGAAGTGGGTGCGCTTAAGGACGAAAAAAACAATTTGTTGGAGCAACTACAGCGGGCGAGTAACGAACACGAGCAGGTGACTCTAAGAATTGAAACGGACCTTCGTCTGGAGCATGCAGCTGAGCTTGTTAAGATGAAGGCGAAGCTTGAGGAACGTGTATCGGACTTGGACTGCCTCAAGACGGAACTTGGAGCGACCAAAGCGACGATCGCAGATCTAGAAAAGGAGCTGAAGGAGCAGGAGGCTCTGCATCAGCGTGAGGTTACGCACCGTGCGACTGAGATGAAGCACGCTCGTAAGACAATTGACGAATGCTCGGCTCAAATTCTGACTCTTGAAGAAACGAAAACTCGTCTGGAGAACGAAATATCGCGGTTGGAGGCGAAGGTAGGTAGTGCATTTGCCGAAAAGGAGGAGGAAGTTCAGGCAGTAAAGGATCATATGCAATGTGAAATTGACAAGCTGCGTGCTGAGCTTGCGGATGTGTCCAGTACACTTGAAGACAAGCAGACACAGCTTAGTGAGGCAAAGCGATCGGATGAAACAAACCGCAATCGTTTGGTGGAGATGGCGATGGCCCAAGAGGAAATGCACAATCGTTACGTCTCCCAGGTCGACTCTTTGACCTTAAAGCTCACCCAGGAGCGCGAAAAATCTTGTGCTCGTGAACAAGAGCTGGAAGAAACGATCAACAAGCTGAAGTTTGACGTCAACGCACTGAAGGCTGATTCGATAATGGAACTGGATGCTGCGAGCTCGAAGCTTACTGACCAGATGACTGAGTTGACTATGACTTTGAAGGCCTCGCAGCACCACGAGCAGCAACTGCAGTCGCGTCTCAAACGTATTTTGGAAGAGTTAGTTCAAGCTGTGAACGCCTCCGGTAAGCCTGAAGGAGCAGATGGAACAGAGATGAGCGATGATGAGGCCATTACAACCCACCTTGATGCGTTGTACGCGATGCATCGCCGCACAGCGCATGAGCTGGAATGTCTTCAGACAGAATACGACGAGATTGTACAGCAGGCTGCTGCCGATAGTGCTACTGCTTATAAGTTGGACAATGAGGTAAAGGAGCGTGAAAATCAGATAAAGATGCTCGATGCGGTCGTGGATCGACTTCGTCAAGAGCTCCAAGAACAATATCACAAGACAGCAATTCTTGCCAAGGGATCAAACGACTTTAGTGACGAGATGGCGACCTTGCGTGAGGAAAAGCGTCAGCTCGAGCGTCAGCTACAGGAAGTAGAAAAGGAACGTGCAAATAGAGAAGTCTCACTTCAGCGAAAAACAGAAATGAAGGAACACGAAATGGAAGAGCTTCGTGACGAGATTAAAACACTCACAGCAGCTGTTGCTGCTGTTCGTGCCAAAATTAAAGCGATTGAAATTGCCAAGTATGACGACTTGAGCGAGCTCGAAAGCAAGATAGAAAATTTAGAAGGACGTACTGCAGCACTCCAGTCGGATGAGAATAGTGCTGCGAGCATGAAGAAGTCGTTTATGTATACTCGTCAGGAAGCGGCGACGCTGGCAGCCGAAGTGCATTCTCTTTACCAGAAGCTTACATCTTTTTGTGGGATCATCGAGTGGAGTGAGCTCCGTGCCACTGTATACGACGAAGAGGATAAGTTCACTCGTGCTCACTTGCAAAATGCTCGCGAATTGGCCAAGATGCAATCGGTTGAAGAGGAAGTACTGACAAATGCTGATTTCTTGAATGCATTGCTAGTCTTACACGAATCGAAGTCAGAAGATGAAAATGATACTCGTTGGATGCAAAAATATACTGCGATTGCTCCTGAAATCGTAAAAAAGCTATGGAAAGTGGAGTCACGATTACGTGACGTTGTGTTGGATCTGCATGACTCGACGTCTCTTTTCCCCACAGACTCAGAAGTGTTTGCGGGCAATGAAGACATAGATAAGGCTGCGGCTCCATCTTCTTTCTCACAGAAAGCGGCGGAAGACGGTTTCGCAATGGCTATTGCTATCGAAGAGGTGGCACGGGACGTGGATGAAAAGAAAGAGGATATGGAGCCTGATGTGGAGCAGGAAAGCGTAGCGGACCATGAAGAAGGTGCGAGTCAGGATCATATTACTTTAGAAAGTCAGGATCTGAATGGCATGAGAAGTCATGAAGAATCTGAAACTGGTGTTACTGATGAGGAGAGGGTTGCTGAACATGTTGTGCATTTTGAGCAGGAAATAAGCCATGAGAAGCAAGATTTGGTCGTTGCAAAGATTGCTGATGTGATGAAGGAGCATGTCGCCACTAAGACAACGCAGGCTGAGCTGGGCGTTGTGGGACTTGCACTTGAAGACACAACACATAAATACTTTGAATGTAGCATCGTGGACGATGAAGCGGGGAAGCTGATGTCGGAAAGTTCTAGTGAACAGGAAAATTGGCGGATGGATAATGAAAGTGATGATAGTGATGAACTTGGTATATCGGTTGTACATATCAGAGCCGAAGAACAGTCCTCTGCCCTGAAGTTAAATGAAGTTAGAGAAGAAAACGTCAGCATAGACTCGTATGACGTACCAATACATCCAAATGAGAGCTGCAAGGTGCATGCAAAGCTATTGGGCTCAAATCTTGATATCATGCCAGACTTCGATACTGAGCGATTAACTTCGACTTCCTATATTGCGCACTCGCCTTTAAGTGTGGACAAATGCAGCTTTAGAAGTAGCATAAGACAATCCTTAATAACCACAACAGATGATGGAGTCAACAATGTTGAGGAAAGAAAAGCACATTCAGAACCATTGTCGAGCTGCAGCCAACTCAAGGATCATAGTGGCGTAGTAGAGAGTATTAAATACGCTAACCAAGCTGGTGTAGCCCTCTCAAAAATGGATGCCAATATGTCTGGCCTGGAAAAGAGTGGAATAGTCTGTGTTGAGTCTAGCATACTGGATTTTTCTGTACCATGCGAAGCAGGCAATGCTTTCAATGTAGTCGACAGTGATGATTGTCTTGATATAGATTTTCCTGACATATTGTTAACTGATGACCATGTTGTGAAAGGAACGTCTCTTAACTCTGACCGAAGTACTTTGGCCGAATGTGGCATGAATAACAAAATGGTGAATTTAGCGTGCATCGATCAAACTAGAAACGAAAACACTGAGCGCTTGCAAGTTGATCCAAGTCACAATGTGAAGCATTTAGATGCTGCAGGCATTCAAACAGCCAATAAATTTGAAAATCCGACTAGTGTTTCGAACAATGCGGTGTTAGCAGTTCGAACACAAACAACTTCGTTTATTGTACCATTGCTATCTAGCGAGGATAATCACGAACGAGAAAGCAAATGCCCAATTCCCAATGAGTCTTTGTCGAGCCTCACAGATAAAAGCCATGGCAGCGATTCTCAATGCATAGTGAAAATTAGACAAGAATGTATACATCCTTCAGTGTTGGACAGTGTTGTCGACGATTTTCATGCTAATCGCGACGCAGAAGTATCTTTCAAGCCATGTAATTTATTTGACGCAAACAGACAATCTGACCAAAGTGACGATGCACATCGAAAAGCTTTAAGCTCGATCACAATTCCAAAAGGAGAGGTGTTTGAGGAGCAGCTTCGAGCAGCAAAGAGCTCGATATATGCGAAATCAATTTCAGTGGACGAAAGCCAAATAGGTGACCACGTGGATGTATCAGCTATGTCACTTCGGATGAAAGGCGATAAAATCTTAGACAAGAAAGATACAATGAATGCACCCGCTTATAGGTCGTCCTTTTCATTAAGTCTGAGTCGATTAGGCAAAGACGATTGTCGTCTTAAGTCTGAAGAGGTAGAATCAGATGACACCGAACGGCTGCTTTCGGGTCAAAGTACAGTCAGCTTGCAACAAAGTGGACAATCTGGTCAGATTATTATACTCAATACTGAAGAGGATGACGATCAGTCTGGTGGAGATTATTCACAAACACAAAGTGATGACGATGGTGACGAGTTAGCTGAAAATTTAAGTCGAACTCGTGAGTTCAATGAGGTCTGTGGTGCATCAGCTACTGCAGAAGAGAATATAGTTTATGCAATGGTACAGACGGAAAACACATCTCTGAATGTGGAAAGGAAAACACTTACGAACGAAGACACTGCATCATACGAGTCTTTGATGACAACAAGGGAAATTGCATTCACGCTTTCGGATGATAAAGGTATTGACAACATGAAAACAAAGAAGCGTTTCGAGAATACTGCGCTGATAAATTCGATAATATCCTTCGACCAAGATTCTTTGGCCAAATATGTAAAGAAATCTAATTCAGAGCTCTCAGCTGCGCATGTCACGAGTGATGAGCAAATTGACGAAAAAGATGTAGAATATGATTCAGCTCTAGGGCTGAAAATTTATCAACGTGAGCGACTTGATACATGCGACTCACTGGAAGAGCTAAGTCAAATAGAGTGCGATACTGTAGCAAAAGGCGTTCACACATACGATATACAAAAAGGACCCTCATCAAACATAGCAAGTGAAGAATCATTCCAGAAATCTGAGTCTAGTACAGAAAGTGATTTCTTGACAAATGCACTTGATGACGATTTAGTGAGAAGGCCTTCAACAAAACGAAATAGGCGAAAAAGCGAGGATAGTGAATGCAGCGCTTTTAACGAGTCAACGCCAGTGATTACGAGATTGCATGAAGAGGAAATTGGCAGCATTGATGGTGAACACGAATGTGATGATATTTCGGAGTCAGACAGCGATGATGACTCCAGTGATGCCGACTGTAGTGTAGAAGCTACTGATCGAACCCGTCGACTGACATTCGACTCATACATGCAATTAGACCGAGATGACAACAAAATTGAAAGTTTTGATGCAGAACTCCCCAAGCAACTGCTCGAACATCCAGTTGATAAGTGGTCTGTTGAAAATCTTAGAGTAGCAGAACAATCGAAAACTACGGAGATAAACGAAGACAAAGAAGTCAATAACTCGAACACTCTGATGGAAGACGTCGAGATCTTAGAAGCGAAAAAGACGATAAAAATGCAAGCACATGTACAGATATCCTCTGCGGATTTAAATCGATTTGGCATGGATGCTCCTTATCGAGATTTCGGAGATGATGCTGAAATGGATGAGATCGAATTGCTGCTTTTAAACCAGAGTTCGTATACTGTGCAACACAGTTACCAAGGGCCTCGTCAAATCAATAAACTCAGCGGTATGGATGATAACAACATATCCGAAAAAAATTCGCCGCTATCACATAGCGATGAAGATCAAGATGATGATTTCGGTGAATCTTCATATGAAGAAGACAAGGTTGGCAACTCGAGTGCTGTGCTGGTCGATGGTAAGTCGACTCAGAACGAGCATTCACCAGGAGGGGAGGAGAGAGCATACGTAACTCGACGTAAAGACGACGCAGCATTTCGTCAATCTTTGATGACAGTGAAGACGACTGTATTGGCAAATAAAGATGACGATACTTCTTTGATAGAAGTATCGGCTGCTAGCTCTGACGAGATCGAATCACAGCATAGTTTTGAAGATAGGGCTCAAGAAAGCTTGCCAGATAGCTCTCACCGCGGTTTTAAAAAGGACAACTCGTGGGAACAAACAGCGATTGTTACGAGCGATTACGATGACGAAGTGAACTTAGCGAATGATTTAGCAACGAAGACAGCGAGTGCTGGTTTAAAACAGGTTGATGCTGGTGGCTCGTTGAGAGGTTTTAATCATACAAAACATGTAATGGAGGTGAATGGTGTGGAAAGGTTTGTATTAGAAGCTTATTCGTCCCGCTTGGCAAGTGGACTATTACGGAATTCCTCACCTGATGAATATGTAGCAAGTTCTGAAAACGAATTACCAACGAATTCAGAGCATTCACCCGATGATAGAAAACTGTCAGTTAGAGATGACGAAGAAAGCGCTTTAGAAGAGTCAGTATCAACTTTTGTGAAAATTCATGCGGCAGAGGATAAAGTTGGTAGCGATTGGCTCGTGTATGACGATTCTTTTCCATCCGACAAAGACAGCAACCATTGTGACGATGCTGATCAGTTAGATCTACTGAAAGATTTGTTTGAAACAAACATTGTATTAGATAGTGACGACGAAGCAGAGGTACCTAAACATTCAAGTGAAAGCCAGATAGAAGAGGAGGATGAGTGGTCCGAAGAATGTCTTGGAGCTGTCGAAAGATCAATTGATCCCGAGTTGATACTGAACAAGGCTTTTGACAACGTCGAGTGTACCCTTGCACCGGCGACACTCCGGATGGAGGACGAGGAAAGTCCAGACGACGAGGAGACAGCAAGTGTGCAAGCTCAACAATCGTCAGTTCCAGCAACGTTGAGTCGATTGAACACCCGTCGTTTGAGTTTTGAAGAAGACGAAATGGATGAGATTGAGCGACTGCTTCTAGATCAAAGTGCGTCTATGTTTCAGCAGCGAGATCAATGGCCGAGTCGATTTATTGAACCTGGTACTGAGAATATTCATTTTGGGTTAAAAAAATCTTCTCTTAAGTCACGAGACGATAATGTTGAAATTGATGAATCTGAAGAAGATCCTATTCCAATTTGTGGATTTGACGCTCCCAAAGATTTGTCGATTTATTCTCGCGAAGATAATTCGAGTGCCGCCGTGATATCGCACTGCGCTGTCAAAGCTTCAATCGGATCCAAATTTCAAAAGTCCAAGCCACTTGTCAGGTCTGATACCGAGAATAGCGAGGAAAAAAGCTTAAGTTCTGATCAACTTCAAATGCACGAGTCAATTGAGCTATTTGAATCGCTTCACAAATCGCGCAATATTGACGAGTTTGGCGAAACATTTACTCGCCTTCAATCTTGTGAAGAGGATGAGGTTGGTGAGTGGCCGAATCGCTTTAGAATTTCTGATGGCGGCGATTCTGAAGAGTCTATCGAGAAGAATAAAAATCCGCCTAGGGGACTCTACTTACGAGAGATCGAGCAGTCTGCAAGTCCTCAACTCTCAACTGACAATGCGATGATTACCCAGGAACGATCAATGAACACATCAACAACCAGTCAAGACAGCGTTAATGAAGTAGAGCATGATTATACTGAAGACTCGTTTGATCTTGATGATTCAATGGAGGATGAAGACGATTAAGGAAAAGTTGTTCGAGATGAAAAAAAAGGTTGACTGTAAGAATGATCACTTCCAACGAAGTCGCTGAATTATCTCATTAAATCGTTTTGGTCAACGACGGTAGGCAGCAGCACCTACATAAGGCGGTGCTTCAGGCTCTAAACTCTCGATTAGAAGCTTTTGGTATCGATCCTGAGACTCAGCTCCAAGCACACCACCAAACTTGACTTGACCAATTCCAGCGCCTATGGCAAGTGCCACAAGAACATCAGCGTCTCCGAACTGCCCAGCAGAAGCTCCTAAGATCACGACCAGACCAAGATTGTGGGCGGTCGTGATGGCTTGCAAAAGTTGGGATACTGTCGGGAACTGGTGAGGCACAAAGAGGACCGTGTTACATGCGCGCTCGTCACTTGTTGCTGTCAATCCGTGCCGTTCTACGACAGCTCGACCCACAATCTGAAGGCAACAACGGGCATCACCTCCGAGACCAGCGACTTCGTTCACTCCGTCTACCACTCCATCAATACCAATATTTTCTGAGGCAACAGTAGTACGTTCCGCGTCATTTAAAGTGCTGTGCAAGGTAGTAAAGCTCTTGACATCGCCAGCATCAAACGGATCCACGACCATCGCTAGCTGAAATTCCTTAATGTTATCGCGAATGATGTCCAGCAACTCTTCGCTACTTTTGAAATTCCCACTACTTCCAGGCACCCACCGATCCGTATTGTACGTAAATGACTCGCTGCTAGCCGGATTTTGGGTTGTTGCAGACGCCGCAAACTCGGATGCTGCGAAATCAACACCAAAATCTATACGCAAAGGTGAGACGCTTAATGACGAAATTGTATGTTCGTTCAAGTCTTTAAAACGAATACGAACGTCGTCAACGGCAGCATGAATCATGACAAAAAGATCGTGAAGACTTTGAAACTGTGGCGTTAACCCACCAAACGCTCCGTGATTAGTAAAGCCAACACCGTGAATGTCAAAGTGGGCTTTTAAAGCTTCGTGAAACTCGAAAGCAATCTGTAATGCGCCTGAAAACGTCGCAGCACTTGTAGGCATCATCAAAACTTCTTGTGCATACAGTTGGTTTGACGCGTACCTACCACCGTTTACAACACTAAAGATCGGCATCGGAAGACATTGATTCTCGGGCAAAAGTTCTTGTAGCCTGGACACGAAGTCACAAAGCGATAGATCAGCATACTTTGCACCAGCTCGACAAAGTGCTAGCGAAGTCGCTAAACACACGTTGCGACCCAATGTCGTCTCTAAATCCTGTAAAATCTTATCGAGAGCATTCTGATCCGTTGGCTCCTTACCCATCAGCTTTTCTGTCAGTGTCTTCTGCGCGCTAGCCGCAATTTTTACATACCCTCGTCCATTATAGCGCATTTTACTGATAGAAATGTCACTATCATCTTGAATATCAGTGTGATATTCACAATCCGTGATACCTCCTGCTTCAGCTGAGCAGCATCCTTTAAAGACTCCTTTACCCGTATGCAATCGCACTAATATGGAAGGCTTTCCTACAGCATCCATAACTTCATTTACTTGCACGAAGGTAATGCCACGCTTGGATGTTGCCCGTTCGTAAAGAAGCGAGGAAAGCATAAGGATTGGATCTTTTGGTCGGGTGATTATCATTTGGTTTATGACGTCGTTCAAAGTTGATTCAAGCGCGTGTTCGGCTACATATGCTTCAACCAAATCTCGTTCTTGATGCTTTTCCTCTTCCTTGTCACTTGAACCTTCGTGTACTTCATGCATTTGATTCATCATAAGACGAAACGAAAATGTGACCTTTAATGATCAAAGATACTTTTCGACAATCGAGATGTAGCCATACCATGCCATAACTGCGCGTCTCTGATGAAGAGAAGTACTAAAGTTGATTACAGACCTCAGACTTCGACTAGCGTGGTGTTATTTTGGGGATTAGCAGGCTATCAATACGAGTTGAGAGCAATATTTAAGACGCTCTATTTTTTCTTAGATCATCCGACAATAAACTTAATTGCTTGTAAAAAGCGAGTCGACATAAGTTGGGCCATATGGAGAACTATGAAAGTCTTGGCACGATCGGTGAAGGGTAAGTTTACGGCCATTTTGCTTCAGTGGATCATATTACCTGACAGAGTATCACTGTACGATTCACTAGAACATACGGCGTGGTGCTCAAATGTCGGCACAAAGTCACAGGTCAAATCGTCGCTATCAAAAAGTTTAAGGAGTCTGACGACGATGAGCTTGTGAAGAAGACTGCTCTTCGAGAGATTAAAATTCTTAAACAGCTCAGACACGAAAATATTGTGAATTTACTTGAATTCTTTCGATTAAAAGGCAAACTTTATCTGGTCTTTGAGTTCGTGGAAAAGACGATTCTTGAAGAGATTGAACGACATCCAGACGGATTGGACCCCTTTACACTCAAAAAGCTCATGTGGCAACTTGTTCGAGCCATCACATTCTGTCATCAACATAATATAATCCACCGTGACATCAAACCGGAGAACTTGCTTGTATCTCGGAACGGAGTGCTCAAACTTTGTGACTTTGGGTTCGCACGGCCCCTAGCATCAGTTGGAGCGAAGTACACTGAATACGTTTCGACAAGATGGTATCGTGCCCCGGAACTTTTGGTTGGAGACGTTTCTTATGGCAAAGCTGTCGACGTTTGGTCTATTGGTTGTATGTTTGCAGAAATTGCCACTGGATTGCCTCTTTTTCCAGGAGACTCGGATATTGATCAATTGTCCCAAATTATTCGCTGCCTTGGGCACATTACGTCAAGACAGCAAGACCTCTTTCGGAAGAATGAACTTTACGTGGGTGTGAAACTTCCGCAAGCCAATGACCTCGAACCTCTTGAAGCACGTTTTCCAACAATGGACAAAGTCTCACTTGATTTTGTTCGACGAACGATTGTTGATGAACCGCTCGACCGCTGGACGTGTGTTGAGCTACTTAAACATCCATTTTTCGGGAGTTCACATGAAACGTTTGAGAGAGAGCTACAAGAAGCAATTGCACGCGATCTCAGTGACACAGCGGCAGTGAGAAAGAAGCGAGCACGTCAACCATCACGTGGAAAAAACGTTGCTGGTTCCGTGCTGCTTGTGTCACCTAATTCAACTGGCTCAATGGATAAGACAGTAAACGTTGGATTGAGCAATTCTATTGAAAAGTACGTTGAATCTAGGAAAGAGGAGACAAAATTGACGATTGGAAGCAAAGGTCAGGTAGTGCCATCAATGACTCCGCTAAGTCTCGAAAATGATGCGTTTCATTTGCCAGCTCTACAAGGCATGATAAACATGTCATATAATACAAATTCCACAGCAAGCAGTACATCGACAGCACTTCATGTTGCGACATCAAGTTGTGGATCTACGGGTCATATTAGTCCACTATTACATCGAAATAAGAAGCTATTTGTACCTCCTTCGATTCTTGAGACTAAAACCTTCGGATCATCAGTACGAACTAAGCCTTTGACATACATCACTTCACACGAAAAAGATCGAAGCGCAGTAGTCACTTATGGTGGTCATCTTGCAGAAGCTGGTGATATTGCTATTTATCCGTATACGAGTACGTCGCCGAGTACTTTGTCGAACTCCAAAAGTTCGCACGGAAGTCGACAAAATTTGTTTAAACCAGGAAGTGACAAGACTGGTAGCGTCCATAGTGTGGGCCTTACTCAAACAATACCAAAAGACTTGCACTCATCGAAGAAAGTGGCAAAAAAGTTGAATCATTCTTTTGGACATGACACAGGATGGAATGGCTTGAGAAAAGGATCGTGTACCAACAGCAGGGATAAGTTGATGCCGAGGGCTACACCACCCCAATTAAGGCTACACGTACCACCTCGAACGTCTCCACTTCAAGCCACAACAATACAGAAAGGTAGTCGTGTACTTATTCAGCGAAAAAAATAACTTTGAATAGGACTTGATGGTGCGTTTTTCAAGCCAAGGTGTTGAAGTCGAAAAGGTCACTCTTGGTTAATTTACTGTTCACATATCGAGCCTATGTAATGAAATAGAGCTCGTGAGAAAACAAGTTTGGATGGTGTACTTCTGCAGGGTATACGCTGGCGAGCTTATGAATCTGAACAATTGAGATTGAATTAAAAGTTGCCCTTTTGATCGATTCTTGCCTGCAGCATAAGAATTGTTTGAGTGATAAGTGTGGCTTATAACGAAGAAAAGAAGAAGCGCGCTAGCAAAGGCTGAATGAAGAAATGTAATGACACGCTGAAGTTATCATGCCATCGATAGTGTTGTGGATCTTTCACTGCTGCAGGCATATTTACCTATAAGTCGCAATTGATCTTTCTAGCCAGCAACTTGATTTCGTCGATAGGCATTTGATGTCGTTTTACGTAATTACGAGTAGCACAAACCAAGGACGTGAAGAGCACATTGCAGAGTCGTGTCTACTCGTAAATGCAAGATTGAGTCATTGATTTGGTTAATACTTTTTTTTGGTTGACAAGTACCACGATTGATACATTTTGACGCTGGCATTCAAGTTAGATGATGAATATCGTAGCAAAAGGTTATTGAATCGTCAAAAGTGAGAGATTCAAGCGATGCTGGCGATTTGACAAATAGATGTGTGTGAATCGAGAACCGAACGATTTTGCTGAAGCTTTTGATATAACTTGACAGAATTGTTACGTACATCACTTTTTTAAATGTCAAAGAAATCTCGTATGCGAAAATAACATTGCACATTCTCACCCTATTTTATAAATATCAGTAGATACTGGTAGATCAGTATTCACCACGAGAAGCGAGTCCCTCCATATAATAATTACAATATAAATGTCACTATTGGTACCCGAGTATGCTAGCTCTTCGGAGGACGAGAGTTGCTCTACTGTGTCTGTTTCCACGTCACTCTCAACAACTGCTTCACATCCAAATCCTTTAATTATATCTAAGGACGCTCTTTCGTCCTCGGCTTCAGATACGGCAAAAACAAACTTAAAGAAGACGAAAAAGAAGAAAAAGCCGAAAACGATTTTGTATTTACCACCAGAAATCCAGCGATTGCTCGAGAGAGGAACTAGCAATGACGCCATACTGGACGATAGTGATAGTGATGATGATGAATTGTTATCCAAGCACAAACATGCCAGGAAAGCAGTGAACAAACGGCCAAGAATACCAATCGCTGAAAAGAACTCGATTCTATCGTTTCTACCGCCACCTAAGCACGAAGTGTCAGTCAATTCTTGTGACTCTATATTGATAAAAAAGAAGGATGAAGGAAAGTCAGAAAAGACTAAAGAAGCTGAAACAAATCACGAGTCAGTAGACGAGAATGCGAGCCATGCTGCAGCTTGGCAACAGAGTTATCTCCAACAACAACAGTATGATACTAGCACTGGTGCTACGTCCCTCGACTACAATTGCGTAGCACAAGGAGAAGAAGATGTTCCAGGAGATAGCTCAAAACGCAAGAGAACTCGAGAACGTGAAATTGAAAGAGCTTTACAACAGGGTCACTTTGAGATCTTGGCAGACCAGATAACAGAAGTCCGAGGTCCAATTCCCAATGCATGGCAACCACCGGATGGAATGGATGGAACCAGAAGTGAAGAGGTGAAGGTCAACGCAAGTTTTTGGAATGCTAAAGTCGGTGCAAACGTCTCATCGATTAAACCCACTCGAATGCAAAGACAAAAACATCAATTGAATCAATTAGCATTTGATGCTAAGGTACGTGATTTTGAATTGCTGGAAAAACGCGGTGCAGCTCTTAAAACAAAGAGAGAAACATACGCAAAGTATGGATGGTAAAGAGGCTTTTTAATATTAAACAGATGATTCAGAGCAAAATGTTAGATGTCGTCCTTCTTTCTCTCCTACAGCAAGTTGAATTGTGTTGTTGCTACTTCTTTCCCCGTATCACTCAAATCATCGTTTTAATCTTCACAGAAGTTTTCTTGTCTCTACTCTTGTTTCATGCATTTGCTTCTTGCTCCGTCTCCTCGAGATATTCCTCTGTAAACGCTTTTACTTCACGTTCCATCCGAGCGACCTCAGTTTTACTAACTTTTCCCTGTCGATTCGCATCAAGTGTCTTCAGCTTGAAATCTTTCTTTTTATGTTTACTTTCTCGTGGATAAACTTTTCGAACTAAGACAAGATCGGGCAATTCCTCTTTAAGTGTAAGCGTTTGATTCGTCCCAAAGATAGCAGATGAAAGATCATACCCCTTGACTGTATCTCCAGCAGCCAGCACACCACCAAGATGTGTACGTACGTGAAACGTTGTATCATTCACACCAAAGTCACAATTACGAGCAACTTCCACATCAGCCACGACAATATTCGACTTGTGTCCTTTCATGCTCACATTATGGCGCGAGTTCACGATTTCAACATCCAAGACAATAAATTCAACCATATCGGAACTAGTTGCGAGCGGTAAGAATGGCAACTTCCAGTACCGATCAGTTGAAAGTTCCGCTTGCTGTCCGGATAGTGGATCGACCAAATGAATAATAGATGTCGTACGAGCACATAATGTGATGTCCGCTATACTTCCACAACTCTGCGCAATTTTTTTCGGTAAAACTATTAAATCATCTTTCGAGATTGGACTCAGCTCAACACTATATGTAAGCTGTAAATTTGCGGTCGAATTGTGCACATTCTCGGAAATTAATTTACTGGATGACTTGGAACGCATGGGAACATGAGCCGTTAAAAAATGAAGAAAGCGTTCAGCTGTTGATTTCGAATTAAAATAAAAGTCCATGCCTTCTTTTAATGTTGTGATACTTATCGCATTTTCATGAGCATGGTGTTTCAAAATTTCTTGTTCAAGACGTAGAAATGTACGTTTATGATCAGTCTTTTGTCGAATCTGTACAAGCGCTTTCCATGTTTTGTTATGATATTGCTTCATACAATCGGGACACTTGACACTGTGGATACAAAACGTGATAAGACACGTATTTTGAACCACAGCATGATTCACAACCTCGCGCTGTATAGTCAATCGAAGCTTAATACGTTTCGAATGCTCTTCGGTCCAGATAAATTTTGCATCAATCAGTTTGACTTTATTAAGACCTGGTATACTTTTAAGACATAATGCCATTAAATCCTTTGATTCCCAATCACAATCCAACCATGCACCTGTGATACTGCTGTAATGTTGTGCTTTACCTCGCGATTGAAAACGTAGACAACCACGACATTGAATTAATTCACATGACGTTGTGATACCCTCAGTTACGTCAACTTCGGATGCAATACACGTTGAACACATATTTAATGCATTTGATTCGATCTGGGTACCGCATATACAACACGAGATAGTCATTCGTAATGAGACTTGATTCACTAGCCTTTGATGTCAATATTGACGTTGTTATTAAACAAAATAGAAATGAAGAAGATTGCGTCAGCATCGATACTGGTATAACTGAGCTACTTACGGTAATAATAGATAAATTCTCAAAAATGTATTAGCATGTTTCTATTTTTTATTATTTCTGATGAGCTTTTGTCAATTCAAAAGATCGTGTAAATTGATAAAGCTCCTAATATTTGATTTAATAATATTCAAAAATGGAATATTATTTTGTGTTCTGAAACGACAAAAATCTTTTAGGGCTTTAATTATCCTATTTATCCTTTATCTTCCGCAAAAAATAAATTGAATTGGGGCTTAGGGATTCTCTGGCTTTTTCACGTATACAACGCTTAAGTTTGCGTGATAAGAGAAAGGTATAAATTACCATTTTTTCATTGCACCTACTATTTCAGGACAGCAAATTGTCCATTCAACAGTAGTACCATCAGCAAAAGGAGATATGAGTATGAAGATAGAGCGTGGACCAAGCTATGCAGAGTACGAAGATCAAGCGTCGCATCATGGAACGAGGTCAGGGACTCCCACGAAACGTGTGAATATACCTACAACTACTACAAGTCGTATTATGGACCGCAAAGATAAAATGTTTAAGCGCTCAAAAGGTCAATGGAAGTACGTACAAGATTTCGTATACGTGTCATAAACACTCGCGCACAACTGACAATTTCTAGCGCAGTATTCGCCGTCAGAAAGTGCCACATTACTGGAAACTTTACATGCAAGACCCTTTTCATACAGTCGTGAATATGCGGCTTAGCAAAGTTCTTGCGTCACTTATGTTTGCAGTAAGATTATATGAGTTGATAGTTTTTGAACTTGAAAACTAATTCTTGTCGTTTTTTACTGTAGTACATTGTGGTGATTACACTATTCGGAGCGCTATACATGACACCTCGTGAAGAATGCCGATTAGCCATTTCTACATTCTTTGACGGATTTTCTTTTTCCGTCTCTGTGCTCTTTACTATTGGTTTTGGTACAAACGGTGGTGACGTTTTCTTTGGTCGATGTGTGTGGGTTCAAACTATTATTACACTTGAGTCATTCATGGGCATTTTACTTGATGCATTGGCGATTGGAATTATCTTTCAACGCTTTTCAAGGGCCCAAGCTCGTGCGAATACTATTGTCATGAGTACTCACGCGTGCGTTCGTCGTATTCGCGGCAAATTGTATTTTATGTTTCAAGTATGCGAGATGCGCAAACACCAATTGGTAGAAGCTCACGTCCGACTATATGCAATTCGACACGACATTGAATTTGGAGAACATTATTATTTTCAATCATACCCTATGCGTATACAACATCCAGATGATGATCTTGGCGGCATGATGCTCTTGGCTCTTCCTTCTGTCGTTGTACACGGTATGGATGCATGGAGTCCACTATTACGACCAAAGAGCATCAATACTTGTGGTATGCATCATAATCCCGCAAGAAAGTATCTCTTTCCGGAGCCTTTATGTCGTGAAGCTGATGCACAAAGTGGAGATCGTGATGCTTCAGTACAGAATAATTTGTATTCACATTTAGCACATAACACGTGTCGCTGTGGAGGTGAAAATATTGCGACGGGTGATGTACATGCTGCTACACAACCTCCGTCAATCGAAGAGATCCAGCAATATTGGGCCGAATCACAGGTATCATAAAAGTATATACTTCAACATTCTTAGACATGTGTGTCAAAGTCTCATATTGTTTTATTTTGATTTGTAGCTTGAAGTTGTGGTACTAGTAGAAGGTATTGATGCTGTTACTTCAACAACCATCCAAGTGCGGCATTCATATAAAGCTGAAGATATCTTGTTTAACCATCGTCACGTTAATTGTGTCGATATTGATCCAGAGACTGGTGGTGCTTTAGTTGACTTTCGTCGTTTTCACGAGACAGTTCCCGTGGATATTGACTGTAGTCATGTATCTGGAAGCTTTTACTAAATTGTTTAAATTTTGTGTGAATAGAGCCCATTTTTAGATTTTGTTTTTGTATTAAGTTTTGATGTCCCCCGAAAGTAACAACTCGAGGATTGATGGTATCCACATCATCAATCTTCATTATCGAATTTCCCCCTTTGAATCTCTTTCTTTATCTTTCAATATCATGGCCTACCGTCAAATGTTTAAGACGCAGACGCGTCATATGAGCTCAAACTCTCGAAAATTCTTTGTTGGCGGGAATTGGAAGTGTAATGGATCATTAAGTCAAGTTAACGAACTTGTAGGGATGCTAAACACGGCCAAGATTCCCACAAATGTCGAAGTGGTTGTAGCTCCTTCGCAAGTACATGCTGCGACTGTCAAAGCTTCTTTACGTCCGGACGTACATGTTAGTGGACAGGATGTTTGGAAACATGGTAATGGTGCATTTACAGGTGAAACTTCAGCTGAAATGCTTAAAGATCTTGGCGTTGAATATACTCTCGTTGGTCATAGTGAACGTCGCGAAAAGGGTGAGAGTAATGAAGTAGTGGCTGAAAAAGCTGCTTATGCTCTTGAAAAGGGGCTTGGAGTTATTGCGTGTATTGGGGAAAGTAAAGAAGACCGTGAAGCAAACAAGACTGTAGCTTTTATCACGAAACAACTCGATGCTTATGCTGCTAAGATCAAAGATTGGACAAATGTCGTGATTGCTTACGAACCTATTTGGGCCATTGGTACGGGTCTTACGGCTTCACCTGAACAAGCACAAGAGGTACATGCGAATATTCGTACGTGGCTTAAGGAAAAGGTATCATCTAAAGCTGCCGAAAGGACCCGTATCATTTACGGTGGCTCGGTCGGTGCTAACAATGCTCCGGAACTTGCGGAAAAGATCGATATTGACGGTTTTCTTGTTGGTGGTGCTTCACTCAAGCCTGATTTTCTTCAAATTATCAATGCCCAAAGTCCAACGGCTAATGTTGGCGGTGCCGTGAATGTTGCAATTAATGGGTTTGGCCGCATCGGTCGCCTTGTACTACGCGCTGCTACCACGAACCCACTGATTAATATTGTGGCCATTAACGATCCATTTATCACAACAACGTATATGGAGTATATGCTTGAGTATGATACGGTTCACGGGAAGTTTGATGGCTCACTCTCTCATGATGAGAAGCACATTTATGTGAATGGAAAACCAATTCGTGTGTTTAATGAGATGA